TTGCAAAGGTGTATATATAAATTTTTGGTGCTAAATAATCAAGTGCACTTAAGTAAGTGCTTTTCTAACATTGGTTAACATATAGAGTTTACAAAATTGTATTCTCACAATAGTAAGATTTTATTACCACATTAGAGAGAAGCAATCTGAGGCTCAGAAGGCTGGTGACCTTCTAGGGTGTAGAAATAATAGGAGATTAAAACATATGTTTATTTAGTATTACAATTTGCTTTTAATTTTTGTATTTAATGGTAACGTTGATATATATGCCTCATGGAATAGTAAACACAAACAAAACAGAAAAAAAAAAAGTAATCCTTAATTACAAGACACAGATGTTAATAGTTGTTAATATGTTTAATTTCTCCTCAATTATGAATATTGAAACCCTTCAAATTTGAAAGGAGACTGAAAGTTCCCATTTGCAGATATCTGTTAACTTTAAACTGTCTCTTTCAGAAGTTGGTTATAAATACTTTATTCTGATACACCAAGCATAATTTCTTTCAGTATGGGCTAATCTTTATTTTTAAAATTTGTTGTTATCATTCTATTTTTACTTTTTTGTATCAATTTGACTTCTTGTAAAAATTAAATTTTTAGGTCCTCCTACCCTGAAAAGCCCATCTCCCCCATTTTAAAAGCACTGGGTTTAAACATTATTTTGAAAATATTTAGGGTTGTTCTTTAACTATTCTTAATACTATTATATTACCAAAATAGTCACAGCCGTTTTCTACCATCAACTTCAGAGCTATAATGTGCTTTTAACCTACTCTTCCAATTATGTTTGTCTGTCATTTATCTACCTATTTAATCTTAAGCTAACATTATCTACCAGGTGAGTCATGAAATTGAAGAATACATTGTGTTTATCAATAAAATAGACCTGTCAGTAAGAAGAAAACTGACTTGGTTGGGCAAAGTGTTATTCTAATATTTAGACTGAAAACCACTACAGTTTAATTCTCTGTCTCTAAACATGATGTACATTGATTGAGTACAATTTAATGTTGCTCAAGAAAAAAGTCTACAGCTGGGTGCGGTGACTCACGTCTGTAATCCCAGCACTTTGGGAGGCCAAGGCAAGTGGATCACTAGGTCAGGAGTTCAAGACTAACCTGGCCAAGATGGTGCAGCCCTCGTTTCTACTAAAAATGCAAATTTGGCTGGGCATGGTAGCGGGCACCTGCAATCCCAGCTACTCAGGAGGCTGAGGCAGGATAATTGTTTGAAGCCGGGAGGGGAGGTTGCAGTGATCCAAGATCATGCTACTGCACTCCAGCCTGGGCGACAAAGCGAGACTCCATCTCAAAAAAAAAAAAGGCCTTTTCTGAGGGGAATGGCAAGGGAAACTATTTTCAGAGTAATGAAGAAAGGAGAAAGGAGCACAATTATATTTTCAGGGGACTTTCTATTGTTAACTTTTTTGGGATAGAAATCACCAAATATATGTATATATATATATAT